CTCAATAAAATCTATTATAAGAATTTTAAATCTTATCCCTTGGTGTTGTCATATACAGGCAGTCCCCGGGTTACGTACAAGATAGGGACTGTAGGTTTGTTCTTAAGTTGAATTTGTATGTAAGTCGGAACTGGTACATATTGTAGGGGAAACTCTAGCCAAACATTTCTCCAGAGCTCAGTTTTATTCTCCCACACCTCACTTCCCTCAGGGTATTTATTCTCAAGCTGAGGTGTCTGCTGAGAAAAGCTGCTCCGCGTCTCCCTGGTCTGCTGGAGGGGGTGGGGCGCTAGTTTCGCGTCTCCCTGGTCTGCTGGGGGGAAGCAGCTAGTGCGGGGTTGCCTCACCCCGTTTGTAAGTAGGGATCCGATGTAAGTTGGATCCATGTAACCCGGGGACTGCCTGTATAACTTTCTCTTATAATTAATGTTGAAATCTTAGGGAAGTTTTCTTGTGTTCATTTCTTTGTGAATCAATCTCTATATTTGTTGTAGAGATGGATAGGATGAGTATTCGTTGTTTTAAGCAGGGTAGCAGAGGTTCTGTGGATGTGTGTGAGGGATGTAGTCTTGTGGGTTTTTTTCTATTTCTCAAACCCTGCTGGTGACTCGTGGAGAGGATGAAAAAATATACACACGTGTGGGTATAAATGTTTAATCGTAGGAGTCTAGAATAATTATTGGAATGATTTCATAATACAAAATATATTTAGAAGTGAATTTGGGTGCTGTGTTAATATTTTTATTTTTAATATTTCTGTTTTGGTTCATGGGAGCTGTTCCTTTAAGACCAGAGGTGACACTTTATTGCCGTGTATTTGATACTGAGAGCAATGTAAGGGAGAGATTTTCAGTCTCTAGAGATTGGAAGAAATTGCCTGTGTAAGCTCCAAAAAGGTCAGCATGTTATTTAATAAGCTTATCTTACTGAAAAGCAAGCCTCGTTCTCCAAGGTGTTACATTATCACTTTACTGGGCACTGGATGCCTCAAGACTTTGCTAATGAGACATAGAGCTTTTTAATTTTGATCACAAGTTTGAATCAGGCTCAGCATAACAGAGATTAACAATTACTCCCATCTAATGGAATCTGTATAGCCACTAAATAATTTGAATTGCCTTGTCCTAGTGCACTGACAAATTCATCACCATGCTTTGAACTAAATTGCATGTTCTTCTGGGCAGGTGTATTGCTATGTGTTCTGCAGGCTGCAGCGCAATTGTGTCCTGGTTTTGTTTGCATCTTCTACTGAGAGGTCCTGCAATAGGAGGCCAAAATTGAATTTCTCTTGATAAACTTGTAAAAGATGACACCACTGTAATTGCCTCTCACATTGGAGGCAGGCAGAATGATTTTTTTAAAGAAATCAGAAAATAAACCAGCAAACTAAGGATTTAAACTTTTTCCTCAAAAATTGAGATTGTGGTAGTGTTCTGTTTTTGTTCCCTCGTAGTCTAGGTCTGACATTACTTTTGAACTCTGGGGTTTGCAGTAATACATTCCAGAAAATAACTGTCTGCATTAGATCCTCTACTAGCATCAAAGGCAAATGAGACTTATACTAGTGGCAAATTTACAGCAGCAGAATTGAATTTACTTAGCTTCCCTCCTTTCCAGTATTGTTCTACCCAGTCTGGTATTAGGCAGCTGGTGTACTGTAACTGCTGTGATCATTGCTTATTCTGCTGTTCATGACTCTCTTGCTGTTCCCTTGTGCTCCTCCCATCTGTTTGTTTTATCTTCTTGTTGAGTCTTGTTTTAAATTTAGAGTGTGATCATCTTGTGGCACAGCACAGACTTATCTTTTACCCCTCTGACAATGCTGCGGGCTGTGGTAAATCAATCCCACTCTGAATAGTGAGTGCCCTTCACTCCTCTCTCTGTATTCTCTTATCAGTATTTTCAAGGTAGGCTTACGGAAGGTGTGTTCCTCTGGCAAATAAAAAGAAACCAGTTTTCAAGCACAAAACAGAGGGACATGGGGAGATACTTTCCCTGCCCCCTCACTGGACACTCAGCTTTGGTTGTTTCTCCTATAGCTAGAACTGCCTCTCACACTGGAGAAGCCTATCTCTGTGATGCCACCAGCCCTGAAGCAGCGTGTCTCTCTTCCCTCTCCCTGGAGTAGGGGTTTTTAAAGGTGTTTAAATATTGAACAGAACTGGTCCCAAAATAAACCCCTGCGGAACCCCACTTGTTATACCCTTCCAGCATGATTGTTGACCGTTAATAACTACTCTCTGAGAATGGTTATCCAGTCAGCTATGTGCCCACCTTACATTAGCCCCATCTAAGTTGTATTTGTCTAGTTTATTGATAAGAAGATCATGCAAGACCATATCAAATGCCTTACGAAAGTCTAGGTATACCACATCCACTGCTTCTCCCTTATCCACAAGACTTGTTGTTCTATCAAAGTTATCATGTCAAAGATTGGTTTGACGTGATTTGTTCTTCACAAATCCATGCTGGCTGTTACCAATCACCTTATTTTCTTCCAGATGATTGAAGATGAATTCTTTAATTACTTGCTCCATATCTTTCCTGGCACAGAAGTTAAACTGACTGGTTTGTAGTATGATGGGGACTAATTTGGCTACAGTTACTCAAGAGAGAGATCTTGGAGTCATTGAGGATAGTTCTCTGAAAACATACGCTCACTGTGCAGCAGCAGTTCAAAAAAGCAAATAGAATGTTAGGAATCATTAAAAAGAGGATGGAGAATAAGACTGAAAATATCTTATTGCTTCTATATAACAACATGGTACGTCCACATCTTAAATACTGCGTATAGATGTGGTCACTTAATCTTTAAAAAGATATATTGGTATTGGAAAAGGTTCAGAAAAGGCCAACAAAAATTATTAGGGGTTTGGAGTGGGTCCCATTTAAAGAGATGAAAAAGACTTGGACATTTCAGCTTAGAAAATAGGGGATATGCTAGAGATCTATAAAATCATGACTGGTGTGGAAAAAATGAATAAGTAAAAATTATTTACTTATTCCCACAATATAAAAACTAGGGGTCACCAAATGAAATTAATAAGCAGCAGTTTTAAAATAAACAAAAGGAAGCTTTTCTTCACTCAGCACAGTCAACCTCTGGAACTCCTTGCCAGAGGATATGGTGAAGGCTAGGACTTTAACAGGGTTCAAAAAAAGAGCTAGATTCATTGATGGAGTTGAGGTCCATCAATGGCTATTAGCCAAGGTGGGTAGGAATGGTGTCCCTAGCTTCAGTTTCTCTGGAAACGAGTGACTGGAGGGATCACATGCGGATTATCTGTTGTATTCCCTCCCTCTGGGGTATCTGGTATTGGCCACTGAGAGCAGACAGGATACTGGGCTAGATGAACCATTCGTCTGACCCAGTATGGCCATTCTTATGCTCTTATGAGGAAGGAGACAATATAGTTTTTCTGAGTTTGAACCATAGGTACTGCTCTAGCCAGGCATTGCTCATCCCCCTCTACCTTCCCTCAAGCCTCTGCCACTCAGCATCTTTCCACTCCTTCCCTGAGCATGCTGCATCCTTACTTCTATCCCTCTCTCCTAATGCTACTAAACAACTACTTGCATCATGCAGGAGGTGCTGGGAGGGAAATGGAGGGGGAGATAAGTTTGGGGCAGCTGGTGGGCAGGAGAGCTGGGGGGGAGAGGAGTTTGGCTGCCAGTAGATCCAGTGTTCCCTGCAAACTCTGTGCTTGGGTGGCCACCCAGGAGAGATTCAGGTATCACCCATCTGATTTAGCAGAGCTCCCACAGCACTTACAGCTGGCAGTATGTGTTTCAACTGGTAGTGCACATCCACAATTGCCTCAGCGCACATGACAAAATGTATTCTGCCATTGGATGGAAAAAAATTGAGGGAACCCTGCTTAGTACCTGCTAATTATACCTTAGGAGTGTTCCAGCTCTGGAGCACCCACAGAGTTATGCACCTATAGTTTGGACTACAAACTGACAGAAGATTTGCGATCATTCTGTTGTCTCCATCTACTAAAATATTGAATGACTCACCCACAGCTCTAGATGTGTTAACAGGTACTGGAACATCCACATGAAACTAACCTTTTTACGAGTAGCTTCCGAGTATCTGCTAGTTTGGGATACCTTTCTGCAAATCACTCCTTAAAACCTACTTCTCCTAGAAATTCTTCTTGTATTATCCTCTTATAAGTGTTGCACCTGTGCCCTGTCTCCAATGATTTATGTTTTGGTTTGAGTTTCCTTCATTATAATCTCTCCGGGAGGTTCAGTGCCTTAGTCTAGATGAGGGCTACTGAACTTTGGAAGCTCCGAGGGCCACAATGATACTCTCATGCTGGGGGGTGGGGCAGGGAGGATGTTTGGTATTTTTTGTTAAACCATCTGGCAACCCTAGCAGAGACTACATTTCAGACCAAGACCTCATAGACTAAGAATATATGCTTCAGAGTGTTTCTTAATATTTCATCCATGAAATGGGATATAAATATAGCCACTGAAATACAGGCTTTCGTGAAAGTTTCAGTTGTCCCTGAAAAAATAAACTAGGCTTTTTTTTATTTATACCACTCAAATTGTGTTCTAGGCATCACCACAAAAGCAGGAAAGATGCATGGTAGTTTTCCAGTTTAGTAGACAAAATTCTAGCATAGGAAAATAATGGGAATTTCTCATTGATTATGGCCTCACTTGCATGAAAAACTTATCTTACATAATCCAGTTAGAATTTTAAAAAATTCCTCCTGTATAGTGTTCCATCTAACTTGTATGGTCCTGTGTCTCTGGAAAAACTGTCATTAGTTTTTCATTGAAAAATAAATTTCATAAGATATTTTAGTACTATATAATATAATTCTGAAAAACTTATGTTATCATTTGCAGATACTAACTTTCATGTACTGTAGTATGGTAGTAAGTCTACTGCAAGAGATGCAATCCCTTGAAAATGGTGCTGTCACTAATGACAGGCACATACTGTGCATTTAAAAGGTGGTTTTTTTTGTGTCTTCCAGAAGGTCCTCGGCCATCACAGAAAGAAATCATATCACTACGAGCATTTATGCTTCTGTTTTTGAAACAGCTTATATTGAAGGTAAAATAATCTTATTGCAGAATATTAGCAATTTGATAAATGTAGCAAACTTGAAGGCCCAAGGTAGACATTGACTAGATACATAATTCCTGGCAATTAGTTTGTCTACATCTGATTAATGTTAATATTGGTCTGTGTTTAAAAAAAAAAAGATACTCCCTCCCCTCAAATCTTCCCTGAATGCAATTGAGTTTTAGGATATTTCATATCAGCCATACTACACTGTTTATCTCTTTCAAGAATTTAGCCCCAAAAGGGTGCACACTTCTAACCTGCTGCTATAGCAGATGCCCTACTTTACCACACTGTTGTAGAGGATCTAATCATATGAGAAGGGAAAAGGGCAGTCAGAAAGATAATAGTTGCTTGATTTTTTTTTCTTTCTGACCCTCGTGTATGTTAGAACAACCTCTGAGCTGCTCTTATGTCCCAAATGACAACAGTCTCTGAGATTTCATCTGTCATTTGAGAATAGCCAGTATGCAGGGTTTTGTGTATTCTTCCCATGTCTCTGCTCTCATTTTTTCTTTCCAGAGATATGCCCCAGATCTATGGGAATGTGCTATAGCTGGCAATGCTAACTTTGTCTGCTACAGACTCCCACCCACACTAGAAAAATCCTTTTCAGTGAGGACAGGTACAGGTCCATTTCTTTTGCATTGCCAACATGGTAGATGGTGTAAAGTAAGGGAGAGAATCTAACCCTCTGGCTTTATTTGGTATTTCATTCATAAGATAATGCAAAGCCCTAGTTTTTAAAAGTATCCTATTTTAGAGAGACTTTGCAGTCAATAGTTTTCTTGGGCACTATGTGAAGAATTTTAGCTCTATGAAAAAATATCCATTCTTTTTTAGGATAGAGGAGTCAAGGAAGATGAACTGCAGAGTATCTTAAATTACTTATTAACAATGCATGAGGTAGGTATCTATAATTACTTATCTGTTACTGTAATAAATTGTACCAACTTTATGGAAAGCATTCAATTAGGAATATTTTGTAAAGATTTTGATACTTGTCACACAGGATGAAAATATTCATGATGTGCTGCAGTTGCTAGTGGCTCTAATGTCAGAACATCCAGCATCTATGATACCTGCATTTGATCAAAGAAACGGAATACGGTAAGATGGAGAAATGAAAACATGCTTTTGAAACTAACCTTCCTTCTAACCACATACATAAAAAGTGCAATTGCTTGCTTTTGGAGTACAAATACATTTATGGAATCTACTAAATCTAGCATTTTATTCTTTCAAAACATGAAAGTTTTATAACTTGTCATGTGGAGAGTTAAGTGAAAATCTTTCAGTTGGGGTCTTTTTTTATAAAAACTAGACATGTTAGGTGATAAAATATTTTTATTTGCAATTCAGTCTGGAATAGAATGTGCTGCTCACAAATGTGGAAACCTTCTGACTATTCCCCAAGGGTCCTGCACTTTCTGGCAACTAGTGTTTGTCTCAGAGACTCTCTGTGATCCTCCACACAGCCTGTTGCCTCTTTAGGGTTGTCAGGTGTTCTGTTTTCACCCGGACAGTCCGATATTTGTGGCCCCTGTCTGGTTTAAAAAAACAGACAGAAAATACCGGATATGTATATTCTGTTTTTCTCAGATGGAAGGCCAGTGGGGACATTCTTCTTCCCCTGATGCGTCTGGTGGGGGGGAGCAGGGAGCATGGTGACTTTTTTTTCTCTCTCAACAACTTTGGTCCCCTGTTGTTGTTTTTTGCTCAACTAATTTTTTTCCCTGCCATGTTCGAGATTTTTGTGAAAGTATCTAGCAACCCTAGGCCTTTTACTAGAGGCAAAGGTCACAGCCTACTGAGCCATTGTCATCATAGGCTAGGCCATAGTTTGGGGTGAAACCCCCATCAGAGGCAGGCTCTGTAGTTGCATGGGGAGGGTTGGGAAAACCTAGGCCCACTCACTACTCGAGATTGCAGACCCTAAGGCAGGTAAGGCATTTCCTCCACTCCCAGCCTTGCATCCTTTCCTTGGGACACTTTGCCAAACAGTCCTTCTTAGTACTTGAGCAATCCTTCCTCCTACTCCTCAGCAGCACTCTACCACACTCGAGGGCTATGTCTACAATCATGGCTTCTTGCGCGAGTAACATGCAAATGAGGCTAAGCGTGGAATATCGCTGAGCCTCATTTGCATACCTAATGAACCACCATTTTTTTCAGAAGAGGCTCTTGCACAAGGAGCGTCTTCACTGTTCCTTCTTGCGCAAAAAAACCCCTCTTGCACAATGCCGTTACACCTATTACTTGACAGGAGGAAAAATGGTGGCTCATTGGGTATGCAAATGAGGCTCGGCAATATTCCACCTTTAGCCTCATTTGCATATTACTCGCGCAAGAAGCCGCAAGTGTAAACATAGCCCTAGTTCTTAGCTTTCAGTATAACTCCTCATGCTGTCATTGGCCTTCCCTTTGCCCTACCTTAGGGGAAGGTTTTTAAACTGGGCCTACCAGGCCTTAATTAGCTGCAGGTGCTCTGACTATCCTGCTGCTTCAGGCAAGCTCTTAATAGGCTCTAGGTGCCTGCCTGCCTTGGTTGTGATAGCTGTGCCTGGCCAGTTCCTTCAGGAAACAGAAAATTATTCGCCCAGTTTCCTGTATATTTGCCCTCCACCAGGATACTGTACCCAGCTGCCCTGTATTTGTCATAAAGTACATTTCAAAATTCAGATATGAGTATGGAGATTCCCTTTTCTTTTAACTATTAAGGGAGACTGTTTTAGTCAGTTTTATAAACATTCTAAGGTTTAAACTTATATTCTTGCCAGAAAGTGAAAATTGTCTCTAGTAAATGTTTATCAGTAATTTATAGATGAATAGAGTAAAAAGGACGGTGCTCTTGGCATTTTCTTATCAAGTATACTAACAAAATGATAATTTTAAAACAATAACCATGTTTTAATATGATTCTTCGTGTGATAGTCTGAAAAAAAAAACCCTCCACTATTACTAAGCTATTGTGTAAAAACTTGCGGCTTATTTGTTCAATATCTGTTTTTATGATGATTTAATCAACTGTCTTAAAATATTAAAATTTTCATGGAAGTCTTTATTTGAAACTATTTAATTAACTATGCCAGTTGAAATAAAGATGGGATCCATCTAGTTCTTACTAGCAGAATTTAGTTTTTTGATGTTCTTTTGTTCAGCTGTGATTTGTTCATCATTTGTTTTTGGTCAGTTCCAACATTTTTATGCTGAAAGTCTAACAGCTAAGCTGGAGGAGTTAACATAGCCCTGGTCTACACTAAAGTGTTATTTTGAAATAACTCCCCTTATTTCAAAATAACAAGTGGAGCATTCACACTATTAAGCAAGCCCGTTATTTCGAAATAATGGTCTGGTTATTTCAAAATAATAATTCCTGCTTTCCATGAGGAATAACAATTATTTAGATATATTTATTTTGAAATAGTGGTAGTGTGAATGCTGCACTGCTGCTATTTTGAAATAACTACTCTTCAGAGTAATTACTCCCCGGTGCTTCCTGGGGCTCTAAGTTGAAGTAGCATGTCCACATTAAGGGAGACTAATTTTGAGACTTCTGTGTAGTGTGTGCATGCTATTTTGAAATAGTTATTTCAAAATAATTTAGTTTGAAATAATTTCCTAGTGTAGACATGCCTATAGTGACTAGGAAAAGAGAAATGTGAAGAAAGAAAGAGGGAACAATCTAGTTCTTTTTTGAACCCTGTTACAGCCTTAATCTTCACAACATCTTCAGGGCATAATTTCCAGAGGTTAACAGTCTCTTCTCTTCCCTTTAATTGTTTCCATCCATGTGAGGAATAAATTTCATTATGTGCAGTATAGCATATGCAGATGTGTCCCACCAATAAAAATATATGCTGCTTGGCTGTAGGAGGCTGCGGGCACTCTGCCAGTCAGCTGGGCAGCAATCTTTCATGGGTGCCCGGCTTACAGGGAATACTGGTTGTGTGAAGAAATACCTCCTTTTTTTGTTTTGTTTTAAACCTGCTGCCTATTAATTTCATTTTGTGCCCGCTAGTTCTTGTGTTATAGGAAGGAGTAAATTTATTGACTTTCTCTACACTAGTCATGAATTTATAGATCTCTTTCATATCCCCCCTAGTTATCTCTTTTACAAGCTGAAACGTAAGCTTTATTAATTTCTCCTCATATGGCAGCCATTCTATACCCCCCCCCCCCCCCCCACACCTTCTTTTTTGTTTTTTTTAATTTTTCTGTCCACATCTGAACATATGTGGATGTACCATGAACTTATACAGATTCAATGTATTTTCTGTCATCTTATCTAGCCCTTTCTTAATGAATCCCAACATTCTGTTTGCTTTTTTTGATTGCCACTACACATTGGATATTTTCAAACAATTATCCACAAGACTCCAAGATGTCTGTCTTGAGTGGCAATTTAGATGCTATCATGCTATGCTGTGTGTTGTGATTATTTTCCAGTGTGCTTTACTTAGCATTTATCAACCTCAAATTTCTTCTGCCATTTTGTTGCCCAGTCATCCAGTTTTGCGAATTTCTTTTGAAGCTCTTGGCAGTTTCCTGTGGATTTAACTATTTGAGGAATTTTGTATTATATGCAATTTTCCCACCTCGTCGTTAAACCCTTTTGCCAGATTATTCTACAGACAACCATGGAGTGCATTGTTTACATCTCTCCTTTCTGAGAACTGTCCATTTATTCTTAACCTTGGTTTCCGATCTTTTAACCAGTTTCCAACCCATGAGAGGACCTTCTCTCTTATCCCATGTCAGTTTAGTTTACTTAAAAGCATTTGGTGAGGGACTTTGTCAAAAGCTTTCTGGAAATCAAAGTACGCTATATCCACTGGATCCCCCTTGTCCACATGTTTGTTAACTCCTCCTCCTGCCCCCCAAAGAATTCTAGTAGATTTGGCATGATTTCTTTTTATAAAAAAACATGCTGACACTTTCCCAACAAACTCTGTTCATCTGTGTGTCTAGCATTTCTGTTATTTACTACCAGCAAACTTACCCAGTGTTGTCTGGGTCCTTCAAGGCAGCAGGCTAGTGCTGTTGTTGTAGGACAGGGTTTTGGAGATGTGGAGGGAGTACCGCTGGGGAGTGAGAGTGAAGGTTGGGGGGTGAAAAAGGGCTCAGGGCATGGGATCCAGTCTGACACAGGCCTCTTCTATGCCCTAAACCTTCTCTCTTCCAGATGCCAGGGGAGTTTTCTTTTTACCGAGGGGACCCTCAGCTGCCAGGGGCCTCTTTTCTCCCCCCCACAACACTCGGTGCTACAGCCAAGGAGTTGGGGGTCCAACGGTTTGGGGAGGGAGGGCTCCTTTCTTTATCTGGTGGCAGTCAAGATGGTAGAGTCCCAGCTCTGCTGGCCACTTCCTAGGTAGACACTGCATGATAGCTCTCTCCTGTGGTCTCACTGCCCCCAGTGACCACTCTCATATTGCATCTCTCCAAAAAGTAACCCCCATGTTATGGAAAACTGTAGTTTTCCTGTTTGTGCTGGCAAAACCAAACTGTTACCTTGCTTCAAGTTAGGAGAGAGGAAGTTGCGTAACAAATTTGGTGGCCCTAGGGGAAGTCCTTGAACAAATGAACTCAGACAGACATATTTCTAAAATATATAGATTGCTTTTCCTTTCTTAACTTACTTACAATTTTATTGTTTAATTTCACATATCTAAATGATTCTGTGGAATGGTGTTTTGTGGTAAACTCAGAGAATATACTGACTGAATTTCTTTTCATTGTAGAGTCATTTATAAATTACTGGCTTCCAAAAGTGAAAGTATCTGGGTGCAGGCACTGAAGGTACTGGGATATTTTCTCAAACACTTGGGTCACAAGTAAGTGTACTTTCTGAAGTAGTTGTAGTCGTATAAATTATAATCATTGTGTGTTCTTGTTTGTAACATTGTTTAAAATACAAAACATGACATCTTAGAAAGTGCTTAAAATGCATAAACTACAGTGACTATATGAGTAACTTGCAAATTCTTTTATAGCTATGTAGTGTGGAAATTCCTAATTTTCAAATTAATTTCTTACAATAGTAATTTCAAAAATAAAATAATTGGTAACTTTTAAATGATTATAAAAATGAGTGTTATATCAAATTTGGTTTAAAAGCCCCCACAAAACCCGGTAATCTGTTTATGTATGGCGATGTATCTCTGAAAGTGCAGTACATAAGTAACTCAGTGTTTTATAGACCATTGAAAATGGTTGGTCCGTGATTTGCATTTTCAGTTGCAATAGCAGTAAACATTAGGGATGTAAGCAATTAGTTGAGTAGTTGCTATTCGACTAGTCACTTCACCTCCCCCCTTGCTGCCTCTGTCAGTGAGGAAAGCAAGGCGGTGGGGAGCAGGAGCTGGTGCTGGGTGAAGTTGGCTTAAAAGCCAGCTCCCCCGAGCACCGTGTCCATGGGGAGGCAGAGGCGCAGTGTGGGACAGTGAAGGGGAGGCTGAGGAGCAGCTCATGCCCAGTACCTCCCTTCTGCACCCCACCTGCCTGGCAACTCCTAATACATTTAAAAAGTAGTTGAGGGGAGAGGTAGAGCTTGAGTGGAAGATAGGGTTCAGGCTGACCTAGATAAATTGGAGGATTGGGCCGAAAGAAATCTGAGGAGGTTCAACAAGGACAAGTGCAGAGACCTACACTTAGGACGGAAGAATCTCATGCTCTGCTACAGGCTAGGAACCTCATAGACTTTAAGGTCAGAAGGGACCATTATGATCATCTAGTCTGATCCCCTGCACAGTGCAGGCCACAGAATCTCACCCACCCCTCCCAGAATAATCCTGAACCAACTGGCTAAGCATCAGTTCTGCAGGAAAGGACCTTGGGATTACAGTGGATGAGAAGTTGGCTATGAGTTAACATTGTGCCCTTGTTGCCAAGAAGGCTAACAGCATATTGAGGAGCACTAGTAGGAGCATTGCCAGCAGATAGAGGGAAGTTTTTATTTCCCCTCTATTAGGTACTAGTGAGGCTACATTTGGAGTATTTCATCCAGTTTTGGGGTCCTGACTACAGAAAAGATGGGGACAAATGGGAGAGAGTGCAGAGGAGGGCAACAAGAATAATTTGGGACCTGAAACGCATGACTTACAAGGGGACTCTGAGGGAACTGAGCTTATTTAGCATGCAGAAGAGAAGAATGGGGGAGGGGGGTTGATAGTAGCCTTCAAATATCTGAAGTGGGCTTCCAAATAAGATGGAGCTAGGCTGTTCTCAGTGGTGACAGGACAAGAATCAATAGTGTCAAGTTGCAATGCGGGAGGTCTAGACTGAATATTAGAAAAAACTAGGAGGGTCGTGAAGCTCTGAAATGGTTACTTACCTAGGGAGATGGTGGAATCTCCATCCTGATGTTTTTAAAGGCCAGGCTTGGCAACACCTTGGCTGGGGTGATTTAGTTGAGGTTTGTCCTACTCTGAGCAGGGGATTGGACTAGACGACCACCTAATGTCCCTTCCATGATTCTTGAGTCTTTTAAATACATAAAAAAACATTTTCAAATGATGGGAATAAATAAAATTGAGGAATAATAATAAAAACATTTTCATATGAAAATGTAGCTATTACAGTGCTATACAAATACAAACTGAACAGAAAATGATCTATGTAAATGGTTATAAAAATACAGAAATAAGGTGTAGCAAGATGTGGAAATGTGAAATTTAGATTTGAGTCAGTGCCATGTAGACCTGTTTTGTATAGTTCCTCAAATGCTGTTTTGACTAGCTCCAAATTATTATTAATGTGCTATTACATAGTCATTTTCATTTTCAAAATGATGTCCATACACTTAATCAGTAATCTTGTTAATATCCCATGAGTTTGAATGAATTATTAATCCATTTTAACAAATGATGATACTGAACCAGACATCTTAAAAGACTTTCATGAAATTGCACATGTGCATCAGTGACAGAGCCAGCATGAGAACTCAGATTATCTGGTAGCAATCCCTCTCAGTCCTCTAGGCTACCTTTCCTCTTGACTTTTGATCACATAGTTAGAACCATATTGATGGGAACATGTGGTAGGGTATGGTAGAGTAGCATCAAAGAAGATTGACAATTGTATGACACAACAGCACCAAGCAAGTAAAATCTCTGTATACAAGAGTTATTTGTATAATCTTATTGAGAGTCATGTATGAAGGACAATAATGCTTTAGATTTCCATTTGCATAACATAAAGAAAAGTTTTAAGGAGTTATTTTCTATTGTCTCTTTAAAAAATTGACAAATATTTGTGAATTTAATAAATTGGAGATATGTGGCTACATACTACCAGACTACATTGTCCCACTTACCTTTGTATTTCCGTAGAGGAAAACTATGAAAACTTTTCTTCTAAGAATTTCAGATATGACCGCTAAGACACTTTATTATTCATTATTTTAATTTATATTGTACCTGTTTTTCCCATATAGATTGTAAATGTTTCTGGATAGAGAATTAGTTAATTTCCCTCACTTCTTAAAACACATTGTAGGCAAAACACAATAAATACTGCATATATTTATGTTGCTATATACATTAAAACTCTGTTGGTCCAGCATCCAATGCTCCGGGACTCCTGATGGTCTGGCACCATCGGGAACCCGGAAGTGCTCCGCGCAGCCAGACAATTGGAGCTGCTCTGAGCCTGGCTTCCCCGATTCAGCCGCTGCTGAAACTGACCAGCAGATGAATCGGGAAAAAGTCGAATTAGTACTTAAGCCGCCCGGGGCCCCCAGACTCAGCCGCTGCTGAAACTGATCAGCGGCTGACTACAGGAAGCCCGGGGCAGAGCCGGACTATTGGAAGGAGGGGCTATGAGGGGTCTGGGGTGGCATCCCTCCCCACCCCACCCCAGATCCCTCAGAGCCCCCCATCCAATAGTCCAGCATATCTGATAATCTGGCACTCCCTGGGTCCTAAAGGTGCCGTATTATCGGAAGTTTACTGTACATGTTTAAACAGAATACTGTTTGGGGGATTGCCTGAATTTCTCTGTTTTATTTGTGAACCAGGGCTACTTCTTTCTCTGCTTTTAAGGTATACTGTGTGACTTGCATTACAATACACTAAAACTGTATTCCGCTCAGCTCGAATTTCACAATTCTTCAGAATTTTGTATGGCTCATACTAGATTTTTAATAATATTTTAGGAGTGTTTTATTGTCTGTATGAAAGAAGCTGTGCAGAGACTGACAATGGTGATAAAACCCATACATGATAAAGTACCTTTCCTGGAAGACACAGGGAAGGATAACCCTGAGCTTTGGGAGGGAAAAGCAGAACTTCATCTTGCGTATCAGTCACCCATCTGCCCAATGTTGAGATATCTTTGACAGATTTGGCAGGGGAGGGTTACAGCCTACTCTGGCTGGGCTCTACCAAAGGAAGGTGTCCGTGACAAACAAAATTTTGAGGGCAAGAAGGTTTATGGGTGGTTACATATAGAAGCCCATCTTATATATAAAACTGCATTCTGACTACCATTCAATATGGCCAAAACAGCTTAATTTTCAGAAATAACTTAAAGTAATTTTTAGTGTTACATGATAATAAAATAAACATTTCAAAACATAAATATTATTAAGTCCAAGTTTGACTTGTAATCTATTTTTTCTTGCAATCAAAAACATTTTATCTCTGGTTTGCATCTATTTAAAATGTTCAACATATCTTATGATTTATATTTTTGTGTTCTTTTCTCCAGACGAAAGGTTGAAATCATGCATACTCATAGTCTTTTCACTCTTCTCGGAGAGAGATTGATGCTGCATACAAATACTGTGACCGTTACAACATATAACACACTTTATGAGGTACAAATTACTTAAATGTACAAATATACTTTGTTGCAAAAAATGTGTATGATTAGAAAAATATGTTTATATGAATCTGTATTTAAAAAATCTCAATATTCAAGTCACTAGGACTAGATTATAAAATCTGAAAAGGTCTGATACTTGCTGAATTCAGAGGATTTATTTTGCTTGTTCAGATGTTTTCACAAGCTCTGTTACAATTTTAGCAACTTGTCTGTAAAGTTTTACATACACCTATGACCTTAGTATGTAGTTTGTTTTAAAAAAAATCCTTTATAAAATGGTCTTGCATACAAACTTTGAATGTTCTAACACTTGTGTTTGTAGCAGGCTTTTGAAATTCAATGGGAGAAATCTCTGGGACCATAGAAATGCCTTCTTCTTTTCTTTTTAATTGTGAAGGCAAATTGAGTTTAGTTGAATTGTAAGTTGTTGAAAATGACCATGTTCCTTCTCTATCTTATGTTGTTGGCAATGGTCCAAAATAACTGAATATGAGCACCTTAAGGCTGGGTCCATGTTGTTGCCAAAAGAGCATCAGCATATACTACAATGGGAACCCCAGGAGTAGATAGCTTGGGCATACCAGGACAGCTGAGAGAGGGGGGACTGTTTTCTCCAGACAGCCTTCAACGACGCACCAAATAACACTTATGGCCCATACCTTTTGCTGGTGCCAGTGCATAGGGTAAGAGCCTCTCATGTCCAGATCCTCAATCTTATGGAACAAACTATATGGTGCACTGCAGTTGGATAATGAATTAGTGTGTGTGTGTGGGACTGCTGTCTGTCTTGCTTTAGAAATTGTATGTACAGGATGAGACAAAAGAATTGCAGAAAGGGAACGGTTGCATTGTGGTTACAGAGGCTTGACTGACTTAAGAGGGCTCACTTGTATACTTGCCTGTATCACAGATTTTGTGTGTGATGTTGAGCAATCCAGTTGAACCAAATTTTGACACACTGTGTTTCTAATTTTGGAGTGTCCAGTTTCAAACACCGTGCGTTTTTTCACAGAAGTGCAGAATGGTCACAGCTGCAGTTGAACTCGGAGCAGTAGATGCTCAGCTCCTTTGGCAGTCAGGCAAAGGGGTTTGGAGGAATGAGCACAAAGGTGGGAACGAGGAGTTCAAGTGCCTATCTGTATTCCACTTAAAGCTGCACTTCAATTTAATCTCAAGAATTTTCACAAGTCTGCAAAAAGTTTACTTCCAATAATGTTTGATTTTGAAGTTTGGAGCAGTCTTTGAGTGGTACAGGGACAGCCACCTGATAGGGATGTTAAGGACTAGTTGACTATCCGATGAGCAAATGCTTATCGGATAGTCAACACACCAGTTGACTAGTCGCTTCCCACCCCCCTTGGTGCCTCTATCAGAAAGAGGCAGTAAGGGGGTGGGGAGAGGAAGGGTGCTTGAAAGCAGCAGCACTGTGTGGAACCCGGGGTGAGCTGGGGACTCCCCAGCTGGCTCCATGCAGCACTTTCGCTACACTTCATAGGTGCCTCCTCTGGACCACTTCAAAGGCCCCATGCTCCCCTCAGCTCTTTTGCCTTTGAAGTGTAGCAACAGCCAGGAAGAAGCAGTTCTTCAAAGCGGCAGTGGGATCAGCTGTGCCTGCTACCGCTTTGAAACTCCGCCTTTGCGTTTGAAAGGGACAGCACCACATAGCTGAGCCAGAGATCAGCTGTGTGGCTGCCCCTTTGAAACTCTGAGGTGATGTTCAAAGAGTCAGCATTGCACAGCTGATCCCCAGCTCAGCTGTTCGGTGCTGCCCCTTTGAAATGCCGCCTCCGTATTTCAAAGGGGCAGCATCGGACAGCTGAGCCTGGGGTCAATTGGGACTCCCCAGCTGATCCCTGGCTCCAGTGCAGCATTTCCAGTTCTGGCAAATGCCGCAGTTAACTGGGGAGTCCCCAGCATATCCTGGGTTCCGCTGAAATGCCGCGCAGAGCCCAGGATCAGCTGGGGAGTCCACAGCTGACCCCAGCTCCACATGGCATTTCAAAAGGGCAGTGCTGCCGCTTTGACATGCTCCCACTGGGACTCCCTTTGCCCTCTCTCTGTGGCCCTGGCTAAGTTACTTGCAAAAGATGAGCAGGTGTGTATAAAACCTGCACACTTTGGGATTTGTGGTGAGCTTTGGCTTTTTACCTGATCAGGACGAAGTCTTTCCGGGTATCTTCCCAGCTCTTTGTTTCTTATGTGGAATGAGCTAGAGGTCACCTGATTATAGCACAGCGAATTTCAAAATGGATTACCAACTGAATCATTGTGTTACACAGCCAAAAGCACAGAGCCTCCTGAGAAGCTGACAGTGTAATCAACCAGACCGTGCATTCAACTTCTGCAGCATTTGAGACGTTTCCCTTTTGTGGACATCTGCAGAGCAATGACAGTAATCTGTCCACATGTTTTACGTACACTTATGGCCTTTTTATGTAGTTTATTTAAAAAAATCCTTTATAAAACAGTTTTGCAGTCTGTGAGTGCTCTTGGAAAATGCATTTGTGGAGAAAGCAAACCTACAGTCCCTCTTTGAGACTCTGATTGCCACTGCCTTCAATAATAGTAGTGTAGCCAGGGTAGCATGGGCAGTGGCTGAGGATAGTCATCCATATAGGTATCTAAGGGTCCATGTGGGCTTGTATTACCCTAGCTTCCACCCATGCCACTTCTGTCTATGCTAATATTTTTAGTGTCTCGCAAGCTGAGAAGCAAGATTTTAAGCCCAATGTAGATATAATCTAAGGCATGTGATTTTTCCTTTCTCCTGGTCTAGGATATAAAGTGTTTTTAAGAAACTCGCAGAATAGTTTGTGGATATGATTTAAATATTAGAGGAGAACAACTTTGACAAGGCTGGAAGACTTTTTTTTTGTATCAGAAATTGAGATTAATATTACTTTGTGTGGGGGTGTTTGTCTTCGAGCAAATGATGCAGCATGGATTCATGACCAGTAGTTTGACTGACAGGGATAGCTACAGGAAAAGTTTTGACATCATGACAGTATTTTTAGAATTCTAGTTAAGAGAAAAAATTAGTTGACAGTTTATTTAAGCTCAGTAGTATTTCATTTCTCTTCAGTTTCAGATGCTATATAGGTGGGGGGAGAAATTTTATTTCATTTTTGATATAGATAAATGGTTATTTGTGAGTACTGTATCACTATCACTATGAATATTATGAATAAAGGATGGTTTTGGTAAAAATATATCTTTTAAAGTTACTTATATTTGTCTTTGCTGGACTAGGCTTTAATTTGTGTGATTACTTCAATTACATACTCACATACTCAAAGTAACTGCATACAAATGACCAGCTGCACAGCTCACTTTTCATTTGTGTACACAATAACTGTGATTATATGCTGAATCTTAATTATACATGCACTTATGCGCATACCCTCATATGGGCTGTAATGCACGTCTGATTTTTTTTTAATCGCTCAATCCAGATATTTTTAGAAAGATCTGCCCGAAATAAGTTTTCAAAAGCTTGAACAATGTTTCATTTCTGTAAAACTTTTGTATATTTAGGTTTTCTTTCACTTTTGCCATATATTAAGCTTATGAATGACCTCAAAGTGTTTTACATCATTTAAATTTTAAAGTCACTTAACACAGATTCAGAAAGTTTGAACTGTGCATAGTAAGACTATGTTGTAGTTTACATATCAATAACACTTAAGAGCAAAAGTAAAATGTATACCCTACGTGCCAAATAACCATTTTAGTTGCCAATATCTTCAAGCTTTGGTACAATACAGAACATTTTTCCTGACATGAATATAGTTCCAGAGAGACCTTTTGTTAGATTAAGAAAATGCATAATGTTATTCTTAAACACTATCAACTACAACTTGTAGTCAGACGCTGCCACTGGCGTGGTGCTCTGGCATCTGTTCTTCTCCCTTCAGTGTTGATAACCATTTGGCTACGTGTATACATGTGCTCTCTCTGAATGCTGTGCATGCTCTGTGCAGGTAACCACCAGCGCAGACTTCTGAGAGCCCCCAGTGACCACAAATCAGACAAGGTGTGAAGGCACTGGAACCAGGTTTATTGTTAAACAACATATGGTCTCTAGCACCCTGGGTGTCTAGACCAGATGTCAACAGTTTACACTAGTACATATGGCAATGGACTCATGTCAGTTAGTGGTCAGGAGTTTCTGCTATCCCCTCAGCTGGACCAAGACAGCCTCTCTGAGATACACTTTTATACACAGATACAAACAGGTTACACATCACTTCTTACATATCAAGGTGCCACCCTTAAATGTATTAGGTTGACACCACCTGATGTACCTAAATACCACCTTGGCCACCCAGGGTACAATCTGCTAGTTTATACTTAGGTGTCTTCTGGGAGAAACTGCTATTGGTCATGGGCTACTTCTCAACTTTGTCAATGGTAGGAAATTTCTTGCCCACCTTAGAAGAGGTTTGAACAGTATATTCTCTAGGGCAAACTGGGTGCAAACATTTCTACCACCATATCCTCTAACTCCCAGGCATAAGAAGAACACAAGCCAAGATTTTTATAAATAGCTGTCCAAAGGCATGCTCTTGAGTCTATATTTAGGCATTTCATTAAGTGGCCTGATTTTTAAAAGTGTTGAGCATCCCTTGTTCCTACTGAAGTTGGTTCCCTCAGCCTTCCTCAGAAGATAGCAGATAATTGTTACTTCAGTGGGAACTAGCATAAATTTTGGTTATGTGCTGAATATGAAAGGTACAAGATGGTACTGGGTCACTACCTGCCTAGTCATGGGCCAATCTTAACATTCTTCATGATATAAGGGTTAGAATCAGAATACAAAATCATACACTTTTTAGTATTATGTGGCTTGAACAGATCTATATATATTCAAAACAATACTATTTCACAAAATTCTTCCAAGAATTCATTTACAAAATGTTCACATTTGAGAAACCTGTCTTTAATGGAATTCTGTGAAATTTTGACAGTTTTATATGCAAAATGTTGTGAGATGATACTGTATTTTTTACTGGGGTTCAGTAATCTAGCTATTAAGGCAGATTGGAACTCTGGAAGGAGGAGTGCTTTGATATTTAAAAACTATTTTAAAATCTTCATAGCTTTGTCAGTATAAATTTAATATTTTAAAACTTGATTCAGTGTTGGTTTGTAATTACTTATTTTTGGATTGTTGCATCAGTATTACTATTTAACTAAATAGTTTTTTGTATCAAGGCCTAACATACTAATCAGAGGCACAACTGGGTCAAAAAAAGTGTAGCTTGATATAAAATTAATAGATTTTTAAAATAATTGATTTGTTTTAGATTTTGACAGAACAAGTATGCACTCAAGTTGTTCATAAACCACATCCTGAACCAGATTCTACAGTGAAAATTCAAAATCCAAGTAAGAAGTTTATTATCTTTCACATTCATGCCTAGAGATTGTTTGTTTTTGTTTTTTAAAGAATGTAATATTTCAGTTTGCAAAGAAAAGTTAGTAAGTTCAGTACTTCAAGGAAAACTGGCTTTTATTAAATGATTTTATTTTATGATTGTAACAGCTGGTTTGTGGATGAGATTTAAAAATGTGTTAGGTAACATATTTGCTCTTTTACAGTGATTCTTAAGGTGGTAGCAACATTGTTAAAAAATTCCACACCAAGTGCAGAACTGATGGAAGTTCGACGTTTGTTTTTATCTGATATGATAAAACTTTTCAGTAATAGTCGTGAAAACAGAAGGTATGTAAATCAAATATTAGTTTTCCCAATAACACAAATAGGTCACACATTGCTACACGCAATATTTTTAACATGAAAGAAATTTTGGAGAATAGTCTTTTGTCGTATAAGTTCATTGTTGCCTGCAGTTCAATAAATATGTGGTTAAAACAAATGGTATGACATCCTATAGTTAGTTTTAAATCAGCGATAGGGGTTTTTTTTGTTCACAATATGCTTTATTTAACAGCATCCCAAATTTAAAACAAAGGTGGTTTATTAATTTTACATCAAAGTTCAGAGGAGAGAGGGTATTTTTAAAAATCCTGTTTTACTTATTCAAATTTTAAAAGAATTGAATTTCATTTGGATACATTTTGACCTAATTATTTTACTTTAGATGTTTACTTCAGTGTTCTGTGTGGCAAGACTGGATGTTTTCCCTGGGATATATTAACCCTAAGAACTCTGAAGAACAGAAAATTACAGAGATGGTGTACAACATCTTTCGTATTCTTTTGTATCATGCAATAAAATATGAATGGGGAGGCTGGAGGGTCTGGGTGGATACTCTTTCTATAGCACATTCCAAGGTAAGGATTAATTTCTGAACTTTCTGTTGATCCCAGTACCTTCTTAAGTCACAGGAACCAGTAATACAGTAGATACAATGTAATGTAATTTAGTGCCATCTTGTGGATATCATGTGGCATGATAGGTTAGCATTTTTCTTTGTTTTTTAGAGTTCTTTGCTGTGAAATGTTTAATGAAATATAAATTAATTGTACTATTAATTTTTTTACATAAATTTATAAAGTATATATGTACTCTAAAATTATTATTTTTGTGTTCCATTTAAGGTCACCTATGAAGCTCACAAGGAGTATCTAGCAAAAATGTATGAAGAATATCAAAGGCAAGAGGAAGAGAACATAAAAAAGGGAAAAAAGGGGAATGTGAGCACTATCTCAGGCCTTTCATCTCAGACAACAGGAGCAAAAGGTGGAATGGAAATTCGAGAGATAGAGGACCTTTCACAAAGCCAAAGCCCAGAAAGTGAAACAGATTACCCTGTCAGCACAGATACCAGGGACTTGCTCATGGCTACAAAGGTGTCAGATGATGTGCTTGGAAGTTCAGATAGACCAGGAGGAGGTGTGCATGTTGAGGTTCATGACCTGTTAGTTGATATAAAAGCTGAAAAGGTAGAAGCCACAGAAGTAAAGCTTGATGATATGGATTTGTCACCAGAGACTCTGGTAACTGGAGAAAATGGTGCCCTTGTGGAAGTTGAATCCCTTTTAGATAATGTATATAGTGCTGCTGTTGAGAAACTCCAAAGTAACGTCCATGGTAGTGTGGGTATCATTAAGAAAAGTGAAGAGAAGGATAATGGGCCTTTGATAACACTGGCTGATGAGAAAGATGAACCTTCTACTAATAGTACCTCATTTCTTTTTGATAAAATACCCAACCAAGAAGAGAAGCTTCTCCCAGAACTTTCTAGTAACCACATTACTATTCCAAATGTACAAGAGACTCAGATGCATCTTGGTGTAAGTGGTGATCTTGGATTGCTTGCTCACATGACTGGTAGTGTAGATATAACATGTAGTTCAAGTATAATAGAGGATAAGGAGTTCAAGATTCATACAACTTCAGATGGAATGAGCAACCTTTCTGAAAGGGAGTTAGCATCATCATCCAAAGGATTAGAATATGCTGAGATGACTGCTACAACCCTGGAGATAGAGTCTTCGGGTAGCAAAAGTTTACCTAATGTTGATGCAGGAAGTATAATATCAGATACAGAGAGATCTGATGATGGTAAAGAAGCAGGAAAGGAGATAAGGAAGATCCAGACAACTACTACAACCCAAGTAAGTGCATAAGTATATGTGGCATATATGTATTTGATTATGGGATAATTAATCCATTCACAAAAGTACATCTAATCAGGGCTATGGCGAACTTATATCATTACAACAGAAATATGCCACGCAAACGTTTTATTTTCAGAATGAATGTTACATGTTTAATACATTATTTTACAATACAATCTCATTGCAATTTTAGAATAAATTTAAGAACTGCTGGAAAAATATATTAGCCCACATGATTTATTTCTTCTGGTCAGTCTGACTAATAAGGGTTTAGTGCATGCATCTGAATTATTTTTTCTGTTTTTAAGGCTACAAATGTTTGTAATTTATGTAAGCAAGCTGGGTAAAGTAATCTGTTTTATGGGACCATCTCCTCTTTCACCAATAGAAGTTGATCCAGTAAAAGATTACCTTACCCACCTTGTCTCAATATCCAGAGACCAACACAACGGCTATGTCTAGAATAGTTTCCGAAAAAGTGGGTGCATTCTTTCGGCATCCCTGTATTCCTCATTTTATGAGGAATAAGGGATGTTTCGAAAGAGGAGATTTTTCCAGCATTTGGTCCCATGTAGATGGGCCAATTGTCAGTAAAGCCTCTTCCAAAAAAACAAGCGGAAAAAGGGACACATTTTTGTTTCCTGTTGTCTGTGGGCACCATTGCCATATTCTGCTGATTTATGGCTGTGTAGTTTTTTCTTATCAGTATTATTAAAGTGACACATGAACATAAGAACGGCCGTATTGATTTGGACCAAAGGTCCATCTAGCCTAGTATCCTGTCTGCTGGCAATGGCTAATACCAGATGCCCTAGAGGGAGTGACTAGAACTGGTAATCATCGAGTGATCCACAAAGCAAAGGCATCAAGTGAATGACAAAACAAGGGCACATGAAGTGAGATGTGTGCTGATTGCACAAAACAGTGACTGTGAAAGGCGTGTGCTCTCTGAATCCAATGAAAGTGCTGCTCCAGTTCAGTTGGCAAATTCTAGGTATGCAAGCCCTATCCTGAGAGAGTATCTTGGTTATAGCAATTTTGCAGGCACTGTGATGAAGGAAGGGCACTCATGCAGCCTACTCACTAGCCTAGGTTGCCATCACTGGCATCTGACTTGCCCTGACTCTGCCCAAAGATAATTATTTATATCCTTAGTTTGTATCCATGTTTCTATCTTGGGGTCTTTGCTAAGGGGTTCATCATGTCTGATTCTCTCAGGCCTCCAGGGAACTGCACTGGGAAAGCTTTACCTGGCTATACTGGAAATCCTATTTTTCCTTCATACAGTCTAATGCAGCAATGGGCAACCATGATTAGTAAGTGGCTGCATGAGTGGGCCTCCATCTCAGTGGCCCACGTGCGGCTTGCACATCCCTCTGTGCTTCCCTCCCCTATGTTCCTCTCATGCACTGGGGCACTGGAGCCCCACACTTTTCCCCTGCCCTCCCAGCATTTTTGAAGTGCCATGAATCTACTGAGCTATGCTCCATCCCCACTCGTCCCCAGAGCTGGAATGCTGTGAACAGCTGTTGTGCGGCTTTCCAGCTCTGGGAGGAAGAGGGAGGAAGTTACGATGGAGCAAAAATAAGCAGATTTGTGACACTGCAAAAGTGCAGGAATGGAGAGGGAGGAGCAAGGATGTGCTGGCCTTCAGTGCTCCAGTGCATGAGAGGCACATGGGGTCTTGGGGTAGAAAAGGGATCCATGGGGTCTTAACGGATCATGCTCAGGAACAAGGGGCAAGGTAGTGGACAAGATATCTCTTCCCAAGCACTGTTAATAGCTATGGATTCTAGGCAGAAAACAGATCAGTCTCTCTTTTTTGTGATACACAGTCCGTGTTCAGATGGGCAGGTCAGGAGTGCCTCAGGTTTTGGAAATTCTCCACCTCTTCTGGGGATCTCACAGTAAGATCAAGGAGGTCAGCAGACTTGGAATTCTCTTAGATTCAAGGCTGGCCTCGATGTTCTAAGAGCTTCCAGATTAGAACAAATGTATTTACTCACTTTCCTTCTACCCTTTACCACTACTGCTCCTCTTACCTACTGCACACAGGTGTACATTCCTGTGCCCATTGCATAGCTCTAGCAAATATCACCAGCAAATATAGACCAATAATGCACACATGTATGGGAAACAAGAACTCACGTTTCAGTTTGAATTGCCTTACTGTTGCCCACCTTCCAGCCACTCTTATGGCTAGGTTTTACAACACTGGTCTCACTCCACCATCCTGAGGCTGTGCCTCAGCAGAAAGCAATTCTATCCAGTTCCCTATCTCATTACAGGAGTGCTGACAGCCCAAGAATTGCCTGATCCTCAGGTACAGGAAAAAGATCGCAAGCTGGTCAAGCAGTAGGACAAGCTTGACTTTGTTTCCTGGATTGTGCATATATTGTTGGCACCATGGAGATTCTTGTTTCTGGTATTACAGGAAGACACCGAGATCTTTGCTGAGATTTTCCAGAGTGCAGAAATACATGACATTACCTTGCCACTCTCCACCACAGGATATTGCCACATCCGCCACAGGATATTGCAGTATAGACCAGGGGTGGGGAATCTCAAACCCAGGGGCCAGATGCAGCCTTTCTGCTTGCTTAAATGTGGCCCCTGAGGCTCAGGGCCCCCTACTGCCCCACCGTGGGGCTGAAGTACACAAAATCTGCTAGGCTCTTCCTTCCCCTCCTCTCCCCCCCAGGCTCTGGTGTGCAAGGGGAATGTGGGAAGTATCTTTCTCTTCAGTTGAGGGCTACATCAGTGAGGGGTGTAGTTTTGTTTTGCTTTTGTTTTTTTGCTTCTCACTTGTGTACAGCCCCTGACTGATTTTTCTGTGGGTCAGTGACTCCTGACCCAAAAAAGGTTCTTCCACCCTTGTTATAGACATACTTGGCACAAAGCAAGTCTGATTTAGCAACAGCTTTAAAATGATCCAACAACTTCCTACAAGCAACTGTGAACAGGTTACTCTTCTAAGGAAATGGTCAGATGGATTTAGAAGTCAACCAAGTTTATTGAAACTATCTGTTTCAGACAGAATTGATATAGATACTGATATAGATAGTAGGCATGTGGTGTTTGCAGCAGACACCATTTAACATAACATCAGGAACCCCCTGAGAGGAATACTGACATCTGTAGCAGGAAAAGTCATTATCTGATCAGATATCTAAGGTTAGCTCGTCTGCCTTGTCCTTCAGTAGTACACTGCTACATGAAGACCTCCAAAATTTGTAGTGGTAAGAAAGCCAGAGTTTCCAGAAGTCAGCTCCTTCCCCCACAAAACTGAAGCACTTTCAAAGTAACAGATTCTAGCTTCCCCGTATCTACCCCTACCGTTCCGAGAGAAGAGCAGTTCCTTTAAGAAGACTAAAAAAGAGAAACGTTAACCTTCAGTGAGCTTCTTCCTTTGCTTCCTATATTTGGCATGCCGTGAGAGGAAGCCATGGGCTCTTCTGCATGCAAACGCTCAAATTTGTGAAAAACTTCTCAAAATTAGTACAGTAACACAAGCAGGGAATAGGATCTCCCACATTTTAAGGCACTCTGCATAATAGAGAATAAGCCGTCCAAACCTTCAGAAGAAGTTGTCAAAGCTGTTCAAACTATTTTTTTTTTCTGTTGCCAGTTGTTTTTTTATTTTTAGTCCAAATCATCAAACACAGACTACTGATTCCGGGAAAATCAGGAAATGGACTGAGAAATAGAGAAGTAATGGGAAACAGATGGCTACTATTGTGGAGTGTAGGTTTTTGGTTAAAATATCAAAGGGAGAGGTATGTGGGAAGGTATTCCCCTTTTGTCCTATTTTAACTAATATTTATATAATACGCCTATAAAATAAAATAGGTAGCATTTTGCTATTTTATCTTGTCAGCGTTTTCTCCTGACTCCCTCTCCCCCCTTGGATACATTTACTTTTTGCCTTTTGTTTAGATTGTAAATTCATCAGGCCAGGAACCATCTCTTTAATCTATGTTGGTATTAGTTGTCCCCAGCACAATGACCCTGTTATCCTGACTTAGTCTCCTAAACACTACTTAAATTAAAAGTCTTTTATTGTAAATGCTTGTTTCAGATGGATGTGATTCAGAAAAAGACTAAGCCACATTACAGATATTTATAAAATCACTAGAAAAATTGTGGTCACCAAATTAGACTGAAAGATCTCTCCATATTGTAAACATATTCTTGATAATACCCGATTTCATTTGTCAATGATATTTCCATCTTTTGCTCCCATTTGTCAATGATATTTCCATCTTTCTTTTGATTACTGTTGTCAGGTTTTAGGAGCTGAAACTGATCTCATTCAAATCAATGGTAAAAATCCCATGACTTCACAGGTGTAGGATCAAATCTATATAAATAGTTCTCAGGAGATATAAAATAGACAAGCAAAAGTAGCAGAAGAAATTCAGATCTTAACAGGCCAGTTAAATACAATATGCCCCTCTACTACTTTTAAAATGGAGGTTACAAATTTCAGACTAAAGATCAAGTGAGCTTAAGAGCTGGGTTCCTGTAGTAGTCTGCTTTTTTACAATGCAAAAATAAATATACTATAGATGTATTTTGCTGACAATCAACATGCAGTGTTCAAGGAATTTGCAATTGAGTGTGATTAAAAAGTCTCTTGCCATTTAAGGCATCTTGTTCTAAATTTGTTGCATTTAGAAAAAAGACATCATATATCACCCAATCTATCTTCAGATAATGCAGTATTATTACTTACAATAACACTTTTTTATTGTCTAATCTGGTTTTTCAATAATCCCAAACAATATGGCTTCTACAATTTCTTTTTGGGAGACTATTTCTTGGGAGATTTTTATGACATTGAGTTAAAATTCTTTCTCCCTTAAATTTTCCACACAGTAATAATGCCAGGAGATGCTGAAGACTGTATTTGGGTGGCGGGAGGGAGGGATGGATAGAAAACTTCTAATTTAAAACACAGTCACATACAAGATACTTAGAAAGGTACATTTTTATTTTGAGGGGGGCAAACTATTCTGATATGCCCCATAAAAAGTATAAATATCTCTATCAAAATATCTAAACAGGATTAACTTGCCAAAAATAAACACACTATAAACAAAATCTCTTGAGACAGCACATTGAGAATCTGAAATGGAAAATGTCATTAAAATGAAAACCCACTGTAATGTGAGACCAAATTGTAAGATGGTGTAGATCAGAGTAGTTCCAGTGAGTGTTTATCAAATTATACCTGCTATATCTGGATGGCTTTTTAAATTTTCAGTTCCAATTTTAGCTTCTCCTTCTCCAAATCCAATGATCTATGTGTAGTGTTAGAATTTGTGGCATTTGTTTAACACCAACCCTGAACTTTTTCTTAATGTAGGCTGTGCAAGGTCGATCTGTTACCCAGCAAGACAGAGACTTGCGGGTTGACTTGGGATTTCGAGGAATGCCAATGACAGAGGAACAACGACGCCAATTTAGTCCAGGTCCACGCACAACTATGTTTCGTATTCCAGAGTTTAAATGGTCTCCAATGCACCAGAGGCTGCTGACAGATTTGCTGTTTGCATTAGAAACAGATGTACATGTTTGGAGAAGGTAGAAAAGCTATCTTTCTTATTTTTAATTTTATTGTGTATGTGTTTGTCAGTAAAATAAATATGTTATTAGATACAAGACATGTATTGATAACACCTTTTTCTTGAAGGTAAAAAGTCATCTTCACTAGACTTACCTTACTGTAGTATCTGACATGCCTCAGTTAATTCCTATTAAAAAAATCTCAGAGGTATAGCCATGTTAGTCTGTAAATTTAAAAACAGTGAGTACTCGTGCGGCACCTTCGAGGCTAACCAAAATGTATAGAATCATGAGCTTTCATGAGTAAAACTGGAAATAACAGACAATATGTTCTTATGTTATGTTCTTAAGTACCCCTCTCTCTAAATAAATTTTTAAACAGCAGAAGTAGTAATTGTCAATTGTAGGACCCATGTTAATGAGGTAATTAAGTGGACTAGCTGTGTCCCATACATAGCTTTTGAGGGGGAAATGTGGATGTTAAAGGCAGGAGAAATTGACTTGGTTATGCACCAACCAGTTAATGTTTTTGTTCAAGCCCAGGGTAATGATGTCAAATCTGTAGATGAATTCTAGTTCTGCAGACACTCTCTGTAACTGGTTAGTAAAATGCCTTTGTAGAAGAATGGCTAATAGAAAATCCATGATTGAGTGACTAGGCAAGTCAAAATGTTCCCCTCTGGGTTTGTGTGTTGCCACTTCTGATGTCTGATTTGTGTCCAGTTTGGCCAGTATACATGACGGGTATTGCTAGCACTTAATGGCACATATCGCATTAGTGGAGTGCAGTTATATGAATCCCTGATGTTGTGGCTTATGTGGATACCTCTGAGGGGAAGGGAATGCCAGTTAGGAAGAGGCAGGTGTTACTAGTGGGTGATTCGATGGTTAGAAACATAGATAGTTGGGTTTGTGATGACTGGGAGAACCGTATGGTTACTTGCCTGCCTGGTGGGAAGGTTGCGGATCTCTTGAGGCATCTAGATAGACTTTTGTGTAGTGCTGGGGAGGAGCTGGTGGTCATGGTACATGTAGGTACCAATGACATAGGGAAGGGTAGGAGAGATGTCCTGGAGGCCAAATTTAGGCTGCTAGGAAAGAGACTGAAATCCAGGACCTCTATAGTGGCATTCTCGGAAATGCTTCCAGTTCCACGCACAGGGCCAGGTAGGCAGGCAGAGCTTCAGAGTCTCAATGCGTGGATGAAACGATGGTGTAAGGAAGAGGGGTTTAGATTTATTAGGAACTGGGGACACTTTTGGGAGAGGGGGAGCCTATACAGGAAGGATGGGCTCCACCTAATCTAGGGTGGAAACAGACTGCTGGCACTAAACATTAAAAAGGCTGTAGAGCAGTTTTTAAACTAAGAGAAGGGGGGGAAAGCCAATTGATGAGGAGATGCACGTAAATCAGAGGGAGACTTCTCTTAGGGGAGAATCCGTTGATAGAGATTCTCTAAGCTCTAGTCGGAAAGAGAGGAGGGGAGAGGGCAAACCAT